GCTAGCCTCTCAAGGACCCTCATTTCTTTCCACCAGTCGCACTCTGACTGTAACCAGTGATCACACGGGTAGCCACACCAGCCTGTGGTGCAGGGCGAGTGTTGTAGTGCAGCAGGTGGCGCCTTGCAGCGCACAAAAACCCCATCAAGCTGGCTGTCGGTAGGGGTCTTGCGGACCCTTTCCGCCTGCGCGCTCGTTCCCACGGGACGCGCCACCGCTGCGAGGGCTACGAGCGCGCGCGCGAAAACGCGTGCCACAGCGATCGAGGTGCTCCAGTCATGCAAGGGACACTCGACACTCACTCACCACTCCCAAGGTGTGCGCCAACACTCACTCACACAGCAGACCACAAACTCACGACCGCTGAGAGGCAAGCTCATGCATCCTCGTCGCCTATCGCCAGGAGGTACGTGAGCCCCTCCTTCGACCACCCAAGATCGCGCACCACTGCTCTCGGCTGTTGGAGAGATGTCTGTTGCGAGATGCTTGCTTTTCAAGGAGCGATTTGCTGGGTGCGCTCCTCTTGGCGAGCTGCGATGAGTGATGATACCATACTCGCAACACTCACAACTCTAATGCAAGGTCAACCAACCAACACTTGAGACTAAAGGCTGTGTGTGTGTGTGTGTGTGCGATTCGCGTCTGACGCGTCGCTACCGTGCAGGAGCTGGAGCACCTCTGCGCCTTTGCTTCTTCTGACCGGCACGGGTCGATCAGCAGGAGGGTGAAGCAGTTGAGCCAGAAAGACATTCGTGATTGTGATTGACATATCGGCGGCTGTCAAGAGATACATTCTCCGCACAGGACGTCATCCTCCCCTCGCACATCGAGGGACTTTGAAATGACTCTCAGAGCTGACTTTAAGAAAATGTGGCAAGAACGCCGTGGCGTCCTGAAAGCAAGCCACGCAGTCCACAGCTCTTGCGCCTGCGCTCCATCACTTGCGGTACGTACATCGCGTTTGCGCGGGCAGCGTGGGCCATGGCTTGCTTGCCCTTCATCTTTGCGCAGCAACCAACGCCTTCTTCGGTCCACACTTTGGCCATTCGCACAACTCACACTGCAGATGTCGAGGTCTCACTTCGGAACACGCTACCACGGCACAAAGTAAGCCGCTTTGACCTTTTTTGGTCGGGGGAGTGTTTTTTTTTTCCCTTCCTTGCCTTTTGTCTCTTTCTTTTGCCCGTCGGACGTTAAACTTAGGTTCATACTCAGACGCTGCCTGCTCTAGCTTGCGAAGGTCTGCGATACGGAATGACGATCGATGCTTTCTAGCACGAGCTACGAGAAGACAGCCCCCCCTCCACCTCGACGGCTGCTCTGATCAGCCAGAATCACCTAGATGACACGCCCGTTTGAGAGCGATTCTAATCGATTCAGGGTCGCAGCAGCGGGCGTCTACAATTCGTGGTTGCACGAAGGATGAGTTCGCTTTCGGATGCATTTGGACCAAGCCAAGCACCTTGTGGCGAGCGCCCCTCGCGAGGGCCACACGGCACGCAATAGGTTCGAAATTCTTGGGAAAACTTCACGTTCGAGAGCGGAGCAACGAGACTCTCCAGGAGCACCGTGCTTTTCGAGTGAGCTATCTCTCGCCTAAATCGCAGACTAGCCGTCTGGAGAGCGGTTGGAAATCGAGCATTGGGCGTGGAGGAAGGTGATGGGGCTCCATCGGGAGTAGAATCACTTACTAATGAATTTGTGAGTGTGTGATTGTACCATCTCGTACGAAGAGCGATCAGTGGGGACGTGCGGCAAAGGAAGGTCCAGGTTGAACTCGACTAGACCATCAGTCCACCATTGACTCGCAGCGTCTGACCATTGACCCAAGCAGCAGCAGGGCTTGCCAAGAAAGCAACAACGCTTCCAATTTCGTCCGTCTTGCCCAAACGCTTTGCAGGTGCGCTGCTTGCGATCCTATCGATCACCTCTTGACTTTTACCCCTCAAAAACAGCTCCGTCGCCACTGGTCCTGGAGCGACGACGTTTGTGGTGATGCGTCGTTCTGCTCCCGAGATGGAAGGATCGCGTGCTAGCATGCGGGCGACCTGTTCGAGAGCTCCCTTGGAGGCCAGATAGGAGAGGTAGCCCGGAGCAAAATTGGCCAAGTTGGTCGTGAGGGTGGAGGAGAAGAGGATGATCCTGCCATCGTTACGAATGTTTGGCAGTAACGTTTGGGTCAGGAATAGAGGACCTGTGGCATCGGATCGACATCGTTAGTAAGACAGCACAGTAAGCCCATTCGTGTATCAGCCAAGCTCGGCGCAGCGTACGAAACTCACCCGTCACATTGGCGCTGAGGTGAGCATGCCACGAGTCTTCCTTGAGCTCATGAATTCCATGCATGTACATGTATCCTGCGCACTGCACCAAGATGTCGATCTTGCCTCCAACAAGGTCGAGGGCGGCCTTTGCAAAGGTTTGTGCGCTGCTTGCATCCGAGATGTCACCCTGGACGATCCAGGCTTGAGCGCCTTGAGCAAGATGCGGCTTGCAATTGGCTTGAACCTCTTCGGCGAGGTTGGCCTTGGATCGGTAGCCTATCGCAACGCTTTTTTTGGACCAAAGCAAAGGTAACAAGTCAGGTGAGCTGAAAGCTCAATGCGTGGTTGATGGGGTCCTATGCTGTAGTCCTGTCTCACCTTGCGCCGGCTTTGACGAGCTCGATGACAGTATCTGCGCCAATTCCCCGGGTACCACCGCCAGTGACGAGGGCAATCTTGCCTTGCAGCGGCAACGGTGTAGTGGATGAGGAAGCCATATTCAGCAATGTCTCAGTAGTTGCGCTGGTAGGGTAAGCGGTCAAGATTGAGATTCAAAGTTTAGTCTCGCTCGAAGGCAGGATCATCCTTTGGCGAGTCACATCCAGGGTCTTATATACCTTGTGGCCGAAAGAAGTGAGCGGCGTTGCGGCTCTCCGGCGAGTCCCGCACATCGTGTCACGCTTTTGACGATGCAGTGAGGCCCCACATGCGAGCAACAGATAGAATCAAGAATGACGGAGTCGACGTCTTCCCAGCCAGCACCTCCATTCGTCCATAATTTTACATGGCAACCCTGCTAAACTCACGCACTGCACCTCGTTCATCCAATCGCAAAGTCACGATTTGTATGGGAATCGGGTGGCTGATGCGTATCAGTGTGCATCTACTCAGACTGTATCTGCTCTGCTGATGCAATGTCACCTTACAGCATGACAGCATGACAGCATGACAAGGTCATCCATCTCTAACATTGCACGGCAGCCAACACAGTCAGTCATGCACACAAACGAGTCAGAATCGGAATTTTGAATGTGAACCGTGCGTGAACAATCAGAAGGAGTTGCAGCATGAGGCCGACAAGCACGAGGGAAGTCGTGAGTCTGTCTCCACGAGTCACGAGTTGCCGTGCACGCTGCATGCGCATTGACGACACATCTTCAGCTCTGCTGCTGATGTGAAGCCAGCCAGCCTGCGCTGTGCTCATGCATGCATGCATGCATGCACCGCCGCGAGCCTACTGCATAGCTCTCTCTCTCTCTCTCGCTCGAAAGCGCAGCTATCACCGAGGCTTGCGGCTTGACATCACCGAGGCACCACAGAGATCACGTGCACTGTTTAGGCAGCGGTCGGATACGCCCATGCAGGTCAAGGGTCCAGCAGCCCTCCACACCTTTGATTCGCTACATCCGCGATCACGGTCAGGCATTCGAAAGATTTTTGCGATTACAATCGTCAGGCTCCCAGTCAAGAGTCTTGTCAAAAATGCCGATGACCGGTGCTTCTAATCGAAGT